ATTACAGGCATGAGCCATTATGCCTGGCCCAAACTTGTGTTCTTTTAAATATACCAAGAAGAAGGTAAAGTCTGGCAGGCAGGAGGTACCCAGGACAGTTCTTGTCAACATGCCTGCCATTTTAACCAAGAGAATGGGGGATGTTACAGTCTTTAGGGTCACCAAACTCCATGGATGTGGATGGCAAATTGCCACAGCATTTCAGTGGTATGATGAGCTGATAACGAAAATCTGCAATCGGAGAGTCAGCCTACCTTCTCTGTCTACTTTAGAACCCTTTTCTTCTGGCTTTATATCTATTTGTGGTGCCTTTGTTTATAGTTACCTTTGCTTGTTAACTTCTTTTTCATGCCTGAATGAAATGCCCCTTTGCTAAAATTTGGAACCATTTTTAATAACACTGCCTATAAAGTTTCAGCGATACAACATGAATCTAGGTTTTAAATGTATTTTAAATTAAAGTTGTGACATCTCAAAACACAAATAATGTTTTTATCATTATATTTTTTTGGAGATGGAGTCTCCCTCTGTCTCCCAGGCTGGAGTGCAGTGGCGCAATCTCTGCTCACTATAGCTTCCACCTCCTGGGTTCCAGTGATTCTCCTGCCTCAGCCTCCTGGTAGCTGGGATTACTGGTGCCTGCCACCACGTCTGGCTAATTTTTGTATTTTTAGCAGAGATGGGGTTTCATTATGTTGGCCGGGCTGGTCTTGAACTTCTGACCTCAAGTGATCCGCCCGCCTTAGCCTCCCAAACAGACGTGAGCCACTGCGCCAGGCCAATGCCAGACCATTCTTTAAAACCCACGGATTCTTTCACCTGGGAGTCTGGGAGTCGCTGATTTAACGTGGACACCTGCTTCAATCCTTGTCCTTGTCCCCTGCAGTCTGTTCTCCACCAGGTAGCCAGAGGCAGCTTCTGAACCAAAGTCACATCAAGTTGTTCCAAACCCCCCAATGGCTTTTGTCACCCTCAGCTGTTATTCAAAGCCTTACGATGGCCCAAAGGCCCCACCCCCATTGCCCACCACAATTCTTCCTGTTCCTTCTGCTTCTGTCTCCCCAGTCTCCTCCCAGTTTCTGGAGCCCAACAACTCTGACCATGCCTCGGCCTTTGCACAGCGCTTCTCTCTATCTGGAACACCCTTCCCCCAGATATCGGCATGGCCTCCTCCTTCACCTCTTTCAGGTCTTTGCTCAAAAGTCAGAGGACCCTGGGCAAGGTAGTTCACACCTATAATCCCAGCACTTTGGGAGATTGAGGAGGGTGGATTACTTGAGGTCAGGAGTTCGAGACCACCCTGACCAACAAGGTGAAGCCCTGTCTCTATTAAAGATATAAAAATTGTCTGGACATGGTGGTGTGCACCTGTAATCCCAGCTATTTGGGAGGCTGAGGCAGGAGATTGCTTGAACCCAGGAGGCAGAAGTTACAGTGAGACAAGATGGCACCACTGTACCTCCAGCCTGGGCAACAGAGCAAGACCCTGTCTCAAAGAAGAAAAAAAAATCAGAGGAGCCTTTCCTGGATATAACAAGTAAAAAGGAAAAAACAAAAGTCCCCATGACAGCCTCCTCCCTGACTCTCTCTCTTCAGAGCACTTTTCTCTGACATTCATTTTGCATTCCATTGTTTATGGTCAGCCTCCTGAACGGGAAGGTCCATGCCTGTGGGGATGGATCTTGCTGTGCTTGGTTTGCTGCTGAATCACAGCACTTCCATTGGGGCCTGGCAAACGGCTGGCTCTGGACGTGGGAAGGAAGTCCCTTACAGGTGGCACTACAGGCTTGGAGAACAAAGCCTTCTGGCTTTGCCGGGCCTCGATCACGCCTCTCCCTGGTCCTCACGGCTTCCCTGGGCAGCTGCAGAAGGCTGTGCTTTAGATTTTGACAGGGGCTGCCTTGCACCAACAAACAATATGTTTTCACTTGTGTGAATTTTGACTTCATCATCGTATAACATGGTTTCAATTCTGCTGAGGTGCCCTGGGGCTTCTGGCACTGGGGACATTTTTGAAATAAATTTAGAAAATAAAAACAAACCAGGTTCCCTAAGTAGCTCCAGCTGGTAATTAAGATCCTCCTTCTAGAGGTACAACTTCAACTTGGGGGCCAGAGAGAAACAGCAAAGGGGGGCAAGACTCTGAAGACATCAGTGTGAAACACAAAAATCCCGCAAAATACCTGGCTCTGAGCTGCAGGTTCAACCAAGATCCACAAAGTACCTATTCCACGCCTGGTGTTGTTACTGCAGGGGAGGTTCAAACTCATGTTTCTGCTGGCCGATCTGGCACCTTCACCAGGGTGTCACAGACATCTCAAACCCCATGTGCCCCAGACAGAGGGATGGAATCCTCCACTGCATACCCAGCACCTTCTCTGTGGTGCCTATCTCAGTGAAGGACAATGCATCCCGGTCAGATCAAACCCAGGAGCCATTGCCACTTCTCTCTCCCCCAACCTCCATATCCAGCCTCTCAGCAATTCCTCTTGGCTTCAGCTCATCCTGAAGTCCACATCTTCCTACCGCCTGGATCCAGTCCATTTTCTTCTCTTGCTTGGACTGTTGCAGTAGCCTCTTGGCTGGTCTCCCTGCCTCCGCATTTCTTTTTCTTTTCTTTTTTTTTTTTTTTTTAAGATGGAGTCTCACTCTGTCACCCAGGCTGGAGTGCAGTGTCGTGATCTCGGCTCACTGCAATCTCCGCCTCCTGGGTTCAAGTGATTCTCCTGTCTCAGCCTCCTGAGTAGCTGGGATTACCAGGTGGCTGCCACCACACCTGGCTAATATTTTTGTATTTTTAGTAGAGATGGCGTTTCACCATGTTGGCCAGGCTGGTTGCAAACTCCTGACCTCAAGTGATCCACCTGCCTTGGCCTCCCAAAGTGTTGAGATTACAGGCGTGAGCCACCGCGCCCAGCTCACATTTCCCCTCTGACTGCCCCTTCTCCACGCAGCAGCCAGAGAGGTCTTTTTAGCACACAACCCAGATCATGTGGCTTTTCTGCTTAATGCCAGCTTGCCCCAGAGATGTCCACAGCACTTAGAATGAACTTTACTTGCTGTGATATCTCCTGCCCCAGTCTCATCTACCCTGGCCGCCCCCATACTTTTCCTCCTGCGCTACAGCCACCATGCCTTCTCTCTGATCCCAGGGGCTTGCTTCATGCTGGTTCTCACTCAGGACCTTTGCACTTGCTGTCCTGCCCCCAATCTCCATCTGGCCGGCTGCTTGTCATCATTTGGTTCAAGTGTTACCTCCTCAGGAGGCCTTTCATGGACCAGCCCCCCTCAAGAATGCTGCCCCCTGCATCCTTCTCGAATCTGATTGTTTTATTTTCTTCACATCCTTTTTATTATCATAAATGATCTTGCTTATGGATTTGTTTGGTTGTTTACTGCCTGAGCTCTAGGGATTCAGGGTGAATCAGACAGAGTCGTTCCAGTTCTCACAGAAGTGGGGGCAATAAGCAAGAATGAAATCGACCCTGAACTTTTCAACTACAAGGGCCAGTAATTTCCACTTTTTGTTAAAATGAGTTTGGTTTTGACCTTTGCAATAGGCTGAGTCTTTACTGCATTAGGCTCCATAAATACTCGCTGAATTCAATGGCCACAGTTTTGGTTGTCTTTCTGTGTCCTTCAAGCCACAGACGTCATCGTGAAGTGAGCGTGAACTTCGCTTTTGAATAATGAGACAGTCCCAAGCCTTGAAGCCGATGGTATTTATTCTCCATTGCTCCAAAGCTCTCTTTCTTCTTCGAGTTTCTACCTAGTTCTGCCCTTTGAACAGATGCTGGGCAGAGAATATCAGTTCCATTTTACAGATGTCAAGACTGAGGCCAAGAGGCTTACATAGATTGGACAAAACACTAGATTGATTATTTCAGCAAGGGTTCCTCTCTCTCTGGAACTGCAGATTAGAAAGAAAAATCTGTATGCTTTCCCAATGATAAATATTAGTAGTACCTTGGGCTAGCCAGGATAGATTTGAAATCCATAACTTTTATATTTCTACTTCACAGATTAGTCCCCAGGGATAGTCCAGGAAAAAATATTCCTCCTAAGAGAAACAGAATTGCTCTTTTATATACAGTTTTATTCTAGGTTGCCTTTATTTTTCAATCTGTTGAACCAATAAGGTGAATATAATTTACAAACCCAGAAGATTCCCATACTGATCCTTTTATCGGCCAAAACCCCTTCTTCACGTCAGAGAAAGTTGCTTGCTCTTTCATTAGAGGGAAGTAACTCACTGTATTTCCCTCTTTACTTTGGCTACCAGGAAGTGATGCACTCTGAACTTGATCACAATAGTTAGCCCGAGCCTGGAATGTTTTGGTAAAACTTCTTACTCTTATTTGTGACATAGCTTTGTATCCCTTTAAACGTGTTTCCCATTCAGAATCCTTTCTGACATAGGCTGGGTATAAACAAATGAATTCAATTTATTTTTGAAGCTGCTCTCCCGCTTTTTTTTCTACCTCCCTTGCATCTTGCTTAGGGGCTCAGGAGCAGATCCTTTAAATAAGCATATTCCCTCTGCTCACTCTCACTCTTTCTCTTTGTAAAACACGCTTTCAGGGGAATGTAAATTGTTTTGAAAAGCTTCCATCCTGGCCCATTGCTAATTATTGCTGACCCGGGAGGATCTGTACTAATTTGCCTTAATAAACTTATTAAACAGCAAATTTCAGGAGGAAGAAACTACATAGCCCTTATTGGATTAGTAAAATTGCCAGTGGACATCACCAGTGGAACAGAGAAGAGCCCGTTAACTGCATAGGAAAGCCAGGGAGATAACTCAGCTAAGTATGTTTCCAATAAATCATCGCTAGCCACAGTTTTGGGCCTTTTTGGGGGTTGCTAGCAAAAGTTTCAAACTTCTAAAAGAAAAAGAAAAAAAAAAAAAAAAAAAAGAAAGAAAGAAAAGGCAGCCTCCTTCTTCCCATAAACTAGATGCAGGTGATTAAACATGGCAACTATTAAATGAAACCACAAACCTCCAGGTCATTGAAGAACAGATGTGTATCTGCAAGGTTGAAGATCATCTCTTCCATCATCAGGCCAATGCGCACAGATGTCGTAGTGTCCTGTGAGGCAGAGACGAGGAAAATCACGAGAGGGAACCTGAGTAATTTTAGTCACCCTTTTGGTCCCATCCCACTGCTGAAAAGCAGTTTTGGGTTTTCCTTATCTGCTCGGCTCATGCATGGCCTAAAATGTGTCTCTGTGTGAGGCCAGTGTGATAATCACGTCCGTCACACAGCTTCCAAGATCTTACTTCTTGTTTTTTTCTCTTTTTTTTTCCCTGAGATGGAGTTTCACTCTTATTGTCCAGGCTGGAGTGCAATGGTGCAATCTTGGCTCACCGCAACCCCCGCCTCCTGGGTTCAAGCGATTCTCCTGCCTCAGCCTCCTGAGTAGCTGGGATTACAGGCACGTGCCACCATGCCCAGCTAATTTTGTTGTATTTTTAGTAAAGACAGGGTTTCACCATGTTGGCTAGGCTGGTCTCGAACTCCTGACTTCAGGCAATCCACCCGCCTCGGCCTCCCAAAGTGCTGGGATTACACATGAACCACTGCTCCCGGCCTCACTTCTAGTTTTTCACCATTTCTACTTTTTACCCTCTCTAGTATTTAAATCTCCTTGAAAATGGCCCTGGGATTGCAACAGTGTTCAGTGTTGCAGGGACGCGTATCACAGACACAGCTGTAAAAAAAAAAAATGTCCTCTTGGCAAATGCCTGTTTTCAGGGGTTCCCTCCAATGCATTTTTGTTTTCAAGGAGGTCTGGAAGATTTCAGTATAAACTACTGGGAGAGTTGGGTTGTGGAATCTCTCTTTCCAATGTTCTCTCTATGCACACTGCCTTACTCCTCTTGATACTTAAAAAATCCCTGTTATCCAACAATAGAGGATTAATGATAAAAACACACAAACACAAATGCACTATGGTACATTCAGAGAAGAGAAAACTAGGCAGCCATTATACAAATGAAGTCATGCTGGAGCTACTGATATGAGACTGTCATCAAGAGATACAGTGCTAAGTAACAAAAGCAAGCTGCAACACAGTGTAACGTATGAATCTGCACAACTGTGCAGTGAAAGTGCCTCCCTTCTGTATACATAGTGTGGTAGGCTGCACTGCTGTTCACCCATATTTGGGATCCCTCCCTGAGGTGCTTCTCCCTGCAAAAGGATGAAATGTAGCAAAAGGATGAAATGTAGCAGGGGATGGCAAACTGCAGCGCCCAGACCAAACCTGGCTTGCTGCTTGTTTTTGTATGACTGATGAATTAAGAATGGTTTTTACATTTTTTAAAAAAATCAGTGTATTGTCTACAGTTCCTCTTGTCCTAGAAAGTCAGAGGTGAGTAGACTGTGTGTCCCACAAAGCCTAAAATATTTACCATCCAGCCCTTGACACATACCCTCCCTGTTCAACTCAGGTTATGATTGAGTAATATTGGGAGGACATGGAGAGAACGTTTGCATATGTGTGATGGGGTCCAGGGTGAGAAAAGAGAGCTCAATTCTTAAAACTGAGAAAACATACTTCTTGTACATGCTACAAGAAGTAGCAAATACACGTTACTTAGAAACTGGACCATGCACCTTGCTTTGGCCAGTGATATGCGGGCAAAAGTTATGTTTCACTTTCGGTCAGAAGGTTTTTTTTTTTTTTTGAGATGAAGTTTCACTCTTTTGTTGCCCAGGTTTGAGTGCAGTGGCACGATCTCAGCACACCACAACCTCTGCCTCCCGGGTTCAAGCAATTCTTCTGCCTCAGCCTCCCAAGTAGCTGAGTAGCTGGGACTACAGGCATGTGCCACCATGCCCCGCTAATTTTGTATTTTTAGTAGTGATGGGGTTTCTTCATGTTGGTCAGGCTGGTCTCCAACTCCTGACCTCAGGTGATCCACCTGCCTTGGCCTCCCAAAGTGCTGAGATTACAGGTGTGAGCCACGGCACCCAGCCTGGTCAGAAGTTTTTAAGAGCCAGTGCATGCCTCCCCATGCACTCTCTTTTCTCACTTCACAAGGCTGTATATATTCTGGATACTTACTCTGCTAGCCTGAAAAGCAGCTATATTTGCCACTATACCACCAATGCCCACACATATTCTGTTGGTCTGGGTTCCAGAATAAAGATGATATGGATCAGAGATACAGGTGACCACAATGAACATATATCATAAATGAGAAGTAGATGAGATTTTGGGGATGTTTGTTACTGCAGCATACCCTCACCTATACTAACTGATACACATGAGAAATATGTAACACAATGGTTTCCACCCCTGGCTGCATATTGTAATGCTCTGAGGAGACTTTAAAAATTCTGATGCCCAGGCTCCTCTCCAGACCAATAAAATCAGAATTGCTGAGGTTGGGGTCCAGGCACCAAGTTTAAAGCTCCCCAGGTGATTTCAATATGCAGTCAAGGTTAAGAACTGCTAGTCTAGAAGGATATAAAACAAACTGTTAATAATATTCCTGGCTAATATCTATGGAGTGCTTTCTCTGTGCCACTTTATAAGTATTAACTCATTTAATCCCCACAAAGCTCTGTAAGGTGAACACTATTATTTTTCCATTGCTATGGTTTGGATGTGCTTTGTCCCTGCCATAACTCATGTTGAAATTTGATCCCCAGCGTGGCGGTGTTGGGAGGTAAGGCCTAGTAGGAGGTGTTTGGGTCATGTAGGGGGGTCGTTCCTCATGAATAGATTAATGCCTTCCCGTGGGAGTCAGTGAATTCTCACTCTCTCAGGAATGGATTAGTTTCCAAGACAGCGAGTTTTTTTTTTTTTTTTTTTTCTGAGATGGAGTCTTGCTCTGTTGCCCAGGCTGGAATGCAGTGGCTTGATCTTGGCCCACTGTAACCTCTGCCTCCTGGGTTCTCGCAATTCTCCTGCCTCAGCCTCCCGAGTAGCTGGGACTACAGGCACATGCCACCATGCCCAGCTAATCTTTTGTATTTTAGTAGAGACGGGGTTTCACCGTGTTGCCCAGGCTGGTCTCAAAGTCCTGAGCTCAGGCAATCTGCCAGCCTCAGCCTCCCAAAGTGCTGGGATTACAGGCATAAGCCACCACGCCCGACCTGAGAGTGAGTTGTTAAAATAGTTGACCTCCTCTCTCCCCATGTGATCTCTGCACACGTTGATTCCCCTTCCACTTTCCATCATGAGTGGAAGCACCAGGTACAGCTGCCCAATCTTGAACTTGCCAACCCCCAGAATCGTAAGTCAAATAAATCTCTTTTCTTTATAAATTATCCAGCCTCAGGTATTCTATTACAGCAACATTAAACGGACTAAAATGCCTATTTTATAGATAAGGAAACGGAGGCACACAAAGGTTAGGCAACTTGTTCAAGGCCATACAAGCTAACAAATGTTGAGACTGGAACATAGGTAATCTGGTTCTGAAACAACACTGCTTCAGAGGACTCAAAGGGGCTGAGTTGGGAGAGGAGAGAGAAGGGCCTTGTCTCCTCCCTCCATACAGTCCTTTCCTGTTTAAATTTTTCACTGGAGACTGTATTATTTCCATTACAAAAAATTAAGGACATAAACCCTTCTTGACCCTTAAAAAAAAAGAAAAAGAAAAAAATGCAGCTGGTGATCTCAGCTCCACACACAACTGTGAAAAATCAGGCCCAGGAACACGGCCATTAGGCAAAACACTTCATCAAGGCCCCGAGAGCCAAAGCTTAGCACTCTTGGTCCTGGCTGGAATTCGGCGGGGCAGGGTACTCAGTGAAAAATGAAGAGCAAATGAGGAAAACAAACTTCTCAGGGCCTAGGAGGGAATCAGTGTGTGACCTGGGAAAAGGTTTGGCATTACTCATATCAAAAGCATTTCACCACTGCACGATCGTACACTCCTCATTGACAGAGCAATTTGTGCACCTAATCACTGATGACCAACCCTCCATATACTGGACAAGAAGCAAGAAGGAGTTGCCACCCAGACTTGTTTGCTGAAAGGATTTATTCTGAAAGATGTCACCTCCCAGGCCAGCATACAGAGAAGGAAAAGTAATTATTGTATACAAAATGACTTCCCTGTGAAAAGTATTTATATAGTTGTAAGAAGGCAAATACCATATATTGATGAAGCTCAACTTATGATTGATTGATACTGGGAAGACATGAAGAGAAAGTTTGCATGTTTGTGATGGGGTCAAGGGTGAGAAAAGAGAGCTCAATTCGTACATATCAGGAAGCCAGAGATCATGCCTATCACAGGGGGAGAAAAAAAAAGAATCAAGAAGTAGCACCTAAGGATGTTACTTAGAAATTTGTGGGTTACATTTTTCAAAGCAGCAGCAAGAGTTGAAAGTTGTTGCCCCCAGGCAGAAAACAAGGTGGTGGGCAGTCACTGAGGACTGCTGTTTTCCACAAATACCCCTTTGTAGAACTATGCCTATTAAACCATAGGCATATGTTTCTTTGGTTAAAAATTCAGGGTGGATTACGAGGTCAGGAGTTCTAGATCAGCCTGGCCAACATGGTGAAACCTCATCTCTACTAAAGATATAAAAATTATCTACTAAAGATATAAAAATTACACATGCCTGTAATTCCAGCTACTTGGGAGGTTGAGGTGGGAGAATCGCTTGAACTCGGGAGGCAGAGGTTGCAGTGGGCTGAGATCACCCCATTGCACTCCAGTCTGGGAGACAGGGCAAGACTTTGTCCCAAAAAAAAAAAAAAAAAAAATTAAAACTAACAGGCAACATACTCAGTAATTCCACTTTTCATTATCTATCCTGCAGAAAATCTCATACACACGAGCAAGGGACACATCAAAGATGCTCCTTACAGAATTGTTAGTAAATAGCAAAAGATTGGGAATAATTTAGCTATCCCTTCAAAGGAGACTTGAAAAATGAAATGTGGTCTATTCATACAATGGGAAATGAAATTTCAAGGGATGGAAATGAACCAGATCTCCACATATTAACAGGGACACATCAAAAAATATACAGAAGTAAAAAAGGTTTTCTGACTGCAATATGCACTATGCACTGTATGTTATTACTGTTTATTAGAGACACACAAACTGTTACTATATTTT